GTCCGGTGATTACCCCGACTACTAATCTGAGAGAGGAGCGGTCCAGCCGGGTGAGAGCTATGGATCGCTTTACATCAATCTTTGGCCATATTTGCCTGGTAATATGACAGGTGGTTTCCACAGCCCACCTTATATTTACCTCCTCAACGAGTTCCGCCTTTAGTCTGTATGTGCAGGAGGTTAGAGGTATGTCCGCATTCCGAGCAGATTTCACTACTCCCCCCTCCTTGCCATCTCGTCGGCTAGGCAGTTGCCAAGTATGTCCCTATGTCCAGGAACCCATACAACAGTCAAGGAGCATTTTGATGCCAGCAGGTTGAGAGTCTTCCTACATTCGATGGCTACTTTGGACGTTGCTTCGTTAGAATTGAGAGATTCGATAGCAGCCTGGCTGTCGAAATAGATGGAAATAGGCCGTCCTGGAGGGGCGAAGGTTATAAGCCCCCGAGCCGCCTCCATTATGGCGTTTAATTCCGCTTGAAAAACGTCATAATGGTCCGGTAAGCAAGAACGTCAGAGTAGATCCCGCTACCTACTCTTTTGTTAAGCTTGGAACCATCTGTATATATGGCCGTAGACCCTGGGTTCAGGTCTGTGGCCCTTTCCCACTCGTTCCTCTCTAGGATTCTTGTAGAGAATTTGTTATCTTAACAGAGTAGAGGAGTAGTATAATCTCTCAGTCGTAGATTATCCGGTAGAGTGTCAAGTACTTTTGTGCGTCCGAATCTGAGGTCTCTCCACGGATGGATTTTATTTAACCTGGCCGCACTACAGCCGGCCCGAAATTTACCGTAGAGATCCACAGGTGGTAGATTTAAGATTATTTCCAGAGATTTGGTGGGTGTAGTGGGCAGGGCTCCCGTTACGAGCATGGCAGCCGTCCTCTACACACGTTCCACCTTGGCTCTGGATACGGTGTTGTTTAGCGCAGGCCACCATACGGTGACCCCGTAGAGAAGGATGGGTGTTATCACAGCTGTGTACATACAGTGTACTATGTGTGGTTTTATTCCCCTTTTTTTGCCTATAGCCGTCTTACAGGCATACAGGGCAGTATTGGCCTTCCTGGAGCGGTCTTCAATGTTTCTCTTCCAGTCCAGTTTCTTGTCCAGAATAACTCCAAGGTATTTGACCTCGGTTTAGATAGTAAATACATAAATGTGATAACTAGAATGCCTTTTTAAAATCAAAACCAATCTATTTTGTTTATATTTTACTGAAAATATATGCAAATAAACGAGAATTTAACTTAGTAGTTGTTAATATTTGTTTATGATTTTAACAATTCTTACAAATTTGAGGTGCTTCGTCAAGTACTATCTATATTCGGCAAGCTATAACTTTTGAATAATAAGCTTTCCACAAAAAAAAAAATGTTTTCTCATCTTCAGGGGATTGAATTTACCTGATATACAAACTTTTATATTTTTAGAAAAAATGTATTTAATAAAGTATGGTTTTATACATTGAAGTCTTATATTCAATGAGCACGCCTGCGAAGCAGAGGGTTAAAAACGAACGTAAACTGACATTTTTACGCGCAAATATATGCAGATCGCGCAGCAGTGAAAATCACTTAGATTGGTGCTATATAAGGTATATCTTCCATACCTCTGATTGTTTAGGTATGATTTGTTATATATGTAACTCCTCTATCTATGTATACTGTTGATATATACATTTTTTAAAATGCAGTAATCTGTTAAGATAAAATTTTCTGATGTTCATGAAAGGTATGAAGCATTCGGCATAGCCGAACACAGCACTGCTCTTACTTGTTTTACTTTTATCTTTATCTTTTCCTTTGCCTTTATCCTGATCTTTATCTTCATTACTTTCTTCATTTACATACTCACCCGCACCATCGTCATTACATTAAGTATTTACATTTGTCTTCTCTTTGTCTTTATCTTTAGGTTCCTATACTTTTAAGGAGTATGTGGACTATTAAGTACGATTGAAAGAGTAGTATCGAAGTACGACAAAGTGCTAGTAATTCAGGCGACTTTACTTGGGTTGAATTTTCCGGGATGAGTTTGCATTGGGGAAGGCCTTTATTTGGGTTGGATTTTCAGGGACGAAGTTTTTTGGGATGAGTTCTCTGGGACGAATTTACCTAGAACCGGAAAGGGTTAACTATCCGGCAAGGTAGATGTCTAGACTAGTTTTGCATATTCTGTGTATGTATTCTACGATCTTTGCTATAATATATATCAGAAAACCAATTTTTTGTTGCGGTTTTACAATTACACAGGTTTACAAAAAAAAACTTCTGCATAATAAAAATTAATTTGTTTGTTTCAGTTGTCGCTGAATCCGAATAGGTCATGCCAAAGTCATCTCAAGGTCAAATGCAGAAGAATAGTATTGAATTTTCAGGTTTATTCAATGAATTTTTCCCTACTTGACCTTCCACTGACCTCGAACCTGACAGACTTCGGATTCGAATTCAGCGCGTCGAGTAATATAGAAATATAGAGGTTGGGTTCAATATGCAGAAACCTTTTTTTTTGTAAACCTGTGTTATTTTTAGTTTCTAAAAAGGTGGCAACTCCGTCAAAAATATTTTCGAAATAAAGCTTTCTCATTTGATCTCCATGTAAAAATATTTAATCTAACTCGTTAACTAAATTGATATTGTAATTCTAAACAGATGGCTTTTTTTCGAAATGACGCTTTCTTAAAGATCTCTCATTTGATACCATATATGTAGATTCATTCATTTGACTTTTTAATTAAATAGATTTTGAATATCTTAACCGGTGGCAGCCGTCTTTAAAAATGTTTTCGGAATACATAAACCTCTCTTAAATTCGTCTCGTCTAACACCCACATTAAGATATTTCATTTATATAACTTGTTAATTAAATTGATTTTGAATTTATCACTAGAAACAGAGTTTTCTTAAAAACTCTCACGTCTGTGCAACTTGTTCATTAAATTGGTTTTTATTCCCTCGTGGTAGCCATTTTCAAAAATATTTTCGAAATAAAGCTTACTTAAACCTCTCTCGTTTTACGCACATACTATACCAGTTCATGTAACTTGTTCATTATATTTATTTTGAATTTTCAACCAGCTGAAATTAAGCTCTCTCAAACCTCTCGTTAATTTTATTCCCATATAAAATATTTAATAACACTGATTCATTCAATTTATTTTGTACTCCAAAACATGTGGCAACCCTTCTAAAACGCATAAAACGCATAATTTTATCTTTCTAAAAAGCAACTAGGCTTAAACTCAGTGAAATTATAAAAAATATATAGTAATGTTATATATAGTACATCATATAGAAAACTTTCGGATTTTAATACATTTTTTTATAATTTTCTTGTTTTTTGTCTTCGCTTTGAAAAGAACTGTATCAAAATATATCACGTCTATTCATTTTGTCGACAAAGTTGTTATTCATTAGAAAGTTCCCGATTTTCGCCCACAGAAATCAGGTCACCGTAAGTCTATCTAATAATCGCAAAAAATATGGCGGAAGCAAACAGAGCATCAAAGCAGAAAATCGTTAAAATTTAATTTGCAAAGGTACGGCAATCGTAGCTAGTTAACACCAAAATATACATATAGTATGTATTCCATCGACGAGCTGCACATACGCCACACTCTTTACAAAACAGCTTATATGATTTGAAAAGTTTTTATTTCCTTTTGGCAATTTAGTTTCTAGTAAATAGGTGAAATGTGATAAGTCGATTTAGACTTGTGTTTGCCTTTATGGTGAATATAATGTGGGTGTGTATGCATACAACAGGCACCTGCATATAAGCAGATATTGAGAATATTTCCTCCAACAACACTATTCATGCTGCTAAGAAATGCTTAGTCGAGATAATATGAATTGTTACGAAAATAGATGAAGAAACCAAAACAACAACATATGTATGTATATATGCATTATACCATAATTTCAGAGACTTGTGTTAATTGTTGCAGGAGAAATCAGCTAATTTGCAAAAGGCATTCTATTGTATTCGTACACACACACACACACATGCACACATGCGCACACAACTAATACAAAGAAAGAAACAAATGCACAAGTTAAGTCTTACTTGCATTGGCTTTTGAGCGACATACCGACTTTGTTTTGTTTGTCAGTGTATGCACATTTGGGCGGGTCGAAAAACCCAAAGTGTTTTATACGAAAATTGTATAGGTCTTAACAGGTGCTATTTTAATCCTTTATTCTTGAAAATAAATCCTGGTTCTCTTCGACAATATCTTCAGTCTGCGGAATGAGCTTGAAAAATTGAAAATAAGAGCGGAAATAACAATTTTTCAAATTCTTACAACAACTTGTGTAGATCAAATCCGGAACTTATTTCCTTCCTATCATAAAATCATAAAAAAATAAATTAAAGAAAACAAAAGTAAGTAACATCAATATTTCAATAAATTAAAAAATTAATAAGGAAATAGGGATTAATTGATTAAATTATTGATGTTGCTTACTTTTAATTTGCCCAGAGAACCAGATTTCATTCCAAGACTAAGGGATTAAAATACCACCTTTTAATACCAAAACAATTTTCGTATCAAATATTTTGTGTTTTTCGCCCTTCCCTAATGCACATATGCAAGTGCACATGCCCGCTATTTGAAAGTAGCAGCAGCAGATAGCTAGCTACTTGCAACATTGCTTACTTAGCAGCATTTGCGTAATTAAGCGATTTGGGTCGTCGCATCACTGGCATAAGCGCATCTACTTGCAGACCTACTCACATATGTATGTATATACATATGTATGTATTTTCGCAGGCGCACCCACATCCACTCATAACGAAATTTTGCGACAGTAAATTGTTTGTTGTAATTGCATTGAAACGTTGCAACTGCATTCACCTTTGCACACATACCTACATACATATTTTCGTATGTATGTATGTTCTTTGCTCACTCCCCTAAAATCCACGACCTTTTATATAGTTATTTATGTACCAATGAGTAAGTAAGTATGTTAATGCTTTCGCAGTTATTGCACTTACCTGGGCTGGTTTGCCAACTTAATCCGCCGATAAACATTTTCCTGCAATGAAACGGAGAAAGAAGAAGAATTTAATTAAAATTTGTACCAGTAAATGTGATTAAAATGTGGAAATACGCACTTATATACATTCATACAAATAGGTGTGTACATATGTGTGTATATATATTTATTTGATTCGAAGTAAATTAATAGCAGAAGCATGTTTGCTGTGAAGTGACATGCAACCTCATAGATTCTACTAAAAGTTCGTTTTCAGTTGGTGTATTCAGGCAGAGGTTAATTTATTCCAGACTATCAAATCAATAGCAGATTAACTTCGCACTCGCATAGTACACATAAAACGAAATTAATTTTGTTTCACGAGCCTAGCTTATATCTGCGCTTGTGAAAGAAACTTTTTTGATCTCATTTCTGGGACTGATCAATATTGGAGAAAATTCGTGAAAAAGTTATATAGTTTCCCCTTTCATAATAGTTTACTTTTCATGTTTATCTAACTTCGAAAAAGGAGGAGTTCGTCAATTCGTCGAAATATTTTTCTAAATTTTTGGACCAAGTGAAAAGGTTTCGAATATTTTTTGTCGGAATGGTGGTACCTCAAGTGTGGTTCCATACTCATTTGGTTTAGTTCTGTTTATTGGACCATGAAGAAATTACATTAGATTAGATTTAGAGGAGGGGGCAGGTCACCTAGTTACCGCGACCGAAAATGATCTATTGTAACATACCTAAGACAACTACTGGTCATCATTGATCCACGTATTGCTAAGAAACCTCGCGAGGTATTTTGGCTGAATGCCATTTAGGTTGTGTGCTTCTAGGTACGGTGATCATAGGAACAGGCCCGTCGAGAGGGAGGGGGGAAAGGGGTGAATCCCCCCGGGCCCGGGTTTCTTAAAGGGGCCCGAAATATCAGAACCACAACTTGTTATTATTTTTTTTTTACAATGTAATTGCTCCTTCGTTATAGGCCTTCATTATAAACATATTACGAATCGTACTGATTCTTTCCGACTCTATAAATTAAAAAAAAATTATCATATGGCCCAAAACGGGGACTGTTACTCTTGCTTTTCAAAATCCGCTGAAACTCGCTAGAATACAACTTTCGGATAGTTTTTCCTCTTTCAACAGCTGCTTTATATTATCGAAAAAGTCTGCTCTCCTTATATAATGTTTTCAAAAGTTGGTACACAGTTTCTTAGCTTAAGGATGGAACTCAAGAGCTACGTATTTATTGAACTGATAAAATTAATTTTGAGGTCAATATTTGCAAAAAATAGCTTGTAGTCTGTTTTATGCGATAAGTAGCATGAATTAAGCAGACTTGCGATTTGACATGTTATCCAAAGAAATTAAGAACATAATAATTATGAATACAGACTTCTGTTGCTGTGCAGCTGTAAGTCGTTTCAGAAGTAATTTTCTGCTTAGAACTCGAACTGGAGCTTACAACTGTGCCGAGATATTGAGGTTTACCGGAGTTAAGTACACGAAAAAAGGAGTTAATGGCCACTTTTATTTGCTCTATGATATTTAGTACTATTCTTACCATTCAAAATGCGCCTCAGAGGGTTGCTTTTCGAGTTTTCCTTCAGAAACTATGGCCATTGGAAGAAAGCATATGCTTGGTTTGGCGATGTTAGATTCGAGGGCAAGACTGTTAAAGTGGACGTAGCTCTTGAAGGAAAAATCTTATAGCACCATTCGAGAGTGCATTTTGAAGGATAATAATAGTACTAGAAAAATACTTGAAATAATTCCAAAAGATTTTGATTATCTAATCAGAAAATCTTCTTATTTTAGCTTTTTTTTCGCTTCTTTTGGCCTCGTTCCTTTTTTAAATAATACAATTCTCGCGTTTTTTTTATTTTTCTACGTAATTTTTATTTTCTGAGCCTATTTGAGCAATACAGCGGCCCGGCTGGCTTGGCCATGTCGTTCGATTGGGCACGGAAACTCCAGCTCTGAAAGTATTCAACTCGGAACCCGCTGGTGGTAGCAGAGGAAGAGGGAGGCCCCCACTGCGATGGAAAGACCAGGTGGAGAAGGACTTGGTTTCACTTGGCATTTGCAATTGGCGTCAGTTTGCTTAGAAGAGAAACGACTGGCGCGCTTTGTTAAACTCGGCCAAAATCGCTTAGGGGGTTACAGCGCAAAATAAGAAGAAGAAGAAAAGGATTTGAGTTAAAAAGAATATAAATTTTAGCTATGAGTCAATAGCACGTTCAATAGCTTACAATGTTGTTTTCAAAATGAGCCCTATCTTTAACTAAATAAAAAATAATTTTACCTGAAAATTAAATTAGTAAAAAAGACTCTTATACGGTTGACAAACGGGTTCGCTTATTTGCATAAACACCCTTTATTTGCTTTAACTCATGCATTGTAAAAACGACGAGCTGTTGTCTTTTGTACAAATAAGCAAACAAAGCAGGCGAGTTTGGCATCCGCGCTAGCCGAGTGGTGCGAGTTGCGTGCTACAAGCCTATAGCTGCCAGGTTCGATCCTCGGTTGGAGCGATTGCGAAAAAAAAAAATTTATTTTTGTTATTTATTTTATTTTATTTATATATTTAATAATAATAATGGATTAGCGCTTACACATATGTTAGTGCTTGGCCGAGCTTCTCCCCCAAATGTTGTCACACAAAGGGGAGGGACCTACAGTTTTACGCCGACTCCGAACGGCGATTGTATTTTTATGAGAAGCTATTTTTCATGGCAGAAATACACTCGAAGGTTTGCCATTGACCTTTTTTCTATATTTTTGCGATGTTGCTTTGACCAGGGATTGAACCCAGGCCCTGCGGAGTGTAAGCGCGCACTGCTTACCGATACACCACAGCGGCTTACTTACTTTTATTATATCACATTTTTTATTTTACTATTAGTTATTTTAAATGTTTAGAGTTGAATTTTATTAAAAAGTCAACAACAACTAACTGAAAGCAATGTTAAAAAAATATAGAACTTATAAAAAATATCGCTAGCATAGAAAGAAAAGTTGCTAAGTCCCAATTTAAAAATTTTACAGGAGAGGAAAAAATCTTCCTATGGCCATTTTCATTAACTATTTCGCAAGACTTCGAATCAAACATTTTGCGCGTTTAAAGCAAAGCAAAACTCCATAAGAATCAGAAGGATTCGATATTTATTAAAAGATGTCGTATTATTTTGGCCTTATCGGATTTGTGGTGCTTCTTTTGGACTTAGCAAAATTTCCTTTTATTGCTTATGAAGAGGAAAAAATAAAATAAGTACCTTTATAATTTTCGAAACGATGCGTACTAAGTTTCTCTAGCCTCTTATATCAAAATATGAGTTTTCATAAAAAGTGGACTTAGCAACTTTTCATTCTAAGCTAGCGATATGAATAAAAACGAAATAAATGAAAATCCTACTGGCCGTGGGACTCGAACCCACGACCCTCGGCTCGTTAATCCGCAATACTGACGTCTGTTAGGGCAAAATTATTCGCATCTGTGTGCTAGTTTATATGCATAAGCATGCCCGTATGCCTCGCGTTTTAGATTGGTACTGCGTCGAGCACCTTTAAGAGATCAGAAAACGGCCCCTTAAGAATTTTTAGAGGTGCTTGTAAATTTTTCGGATCCGCCACTGATCTTATATTTATATTCAGATATATTCCTGTTAATAATTACTTTTGAATTTTGAGATTTGACATACCGTCACTAAAATGTAAATATCTAAGCCAATTGGTTAGACTTGGTTATCGAACTTACCCTCTGCATTTGCGAAGGTGTAGAAAATAATATAAAAGTGGTTTTATAACGGCCTTCGGCGGCCTTTACTTTTCCTACTCTTTAATTTATTTTTTTAATTAATCAAGACGACGAGTTTTCAGAATAAATTGGCTTATACCAATGTGGACATAAATTGCGTTATGACCTCTGAATCTATAGCGGAATAAGTGTAATTTTTTGTTTATAAAGTCAATTTGCAATTATGCAAATATTTGTGAGTGCAATTAGCAATCTTTTAAGTTAAATTTCAGCTTTTAAAATAGAGTTCCCAAATAGGCGGCGTTGACTTACCTTTTTTTATTTGTTTCATATGTTAATGCTTTAATAAATGCAATTTCTATTAGAATGTATTGTCAGGAATGTATTCCAAGTACCATTAAGTATTTTAAAAACAAAAAAAAAATTGACTTTCGTTCAGCTAGATCTGCTATCCGAACCACTGTGCCATGTTTCGTGCTCGACGAACGGCAGTCCTTTATCGGACGTTTCGTCATGAAGGCTGAATTTTCCGACGAGTGGCAAGATCCATTCCTTGCCAGCACATAAAAGGGCGTATCTACGAGCGTTTTCAACGTTTCAGGTCACGTTCAGGACTATTTAAGGGCGATTTTGGAGCTGTTTCAGGATTTTTTTTGCATAAATTGGGTGAATTTCGGAACGATTTCAGAAAAATTCCGGGCCTAGTTGGCATTTTGGGACAAGTTACGACGACTAGATACCTGGTACTCGCACTTTTTTTCAAGTTCTTGATATCTAGCGAACTAAATCAGAGTTGGTTACTTTACTGGGCCGCATGTAATACTTTTTTAAACTTGCCATAGATTACTAAACATAGTTGATAGAAAGATCTGGAGCACGTGGAATTCAAAAAAATATGTATGTACATATATTTATGCGCGGGCAGTCAATCGACCAAAGTGGCTCGAATTTGCTGCCGCTGGGTTTTCCAAAAGTTCCCCCCTATTCGATTCCAGGATAAACTGGCTAAATCATTTGCTGAAATTTTCCTCCATTAAATAAGTTTTAGTATAAATTGTTGAGTGCCCAATTTGTAAGGCCGAAATGAGGTCTGGAAGGTAGGGCGGATGAGCTGTCGGTGGGGTAGATTATCTATTATTATCATCATTAGAGCAAAGCAGCTTTCCTGCTTGCTATTGTTTTCAAATGCTAAAGTCTTCTCATTGCAGCAATGAGACTGCTTGCAACAACCCGCTACATACATACATATACATGTGTATGTATTGTATATACCCTGCAGAAAAAAAGCATCAAC